GGAGGGAAATGGGAGGCTGGGAGGAGGCGGAAACTTTTTTTTCTTATTCTCAATAAAAAAAAAGAAAAAAAAAGAAAAGCATTATTTGCCAACATTACTTAAAAGTGAGCTTTAAGAGTTTAATTGTTCCTGAAAATTAAACACATTCTCTTTTTAATGTCCCATATTAAATGGAATTTTACTTGGGGTATCCTCTGACTTTATGCTTAGTAAACATCAATCCATAGTAAAAATGCTGAAGTTCAATATCATTATAAAACTACAGCATGCAGTTTTTAAGGAAAAAGCTTTAAAAATATGCGATTCCTTGAAAAGTAAATCATTTTTGGACTTAACTGAGGTTTGTAAATTTCACTATGGACATTTTATTAGAAGTTCAAAGTCATTCCTTCTTATATCTGACATTCAAAAGGACAGCTCTCTCTTTGTGCTACAAAAAGGCATTATACAAATCTAAAAGAAAATTCATTTATACCTTGGCTTTGATTCAACACTGCCTGAAGATTCATTTAAGACATCTGATATTTGATTGTGACAGGTTAATGGGCATTTTAGCTGCCTATCCAGTAGTTCCAGGTTCTACCACTGAATGAAGTAAAATGATTGGAAAGAAGCAAAGTGTCTGCCTGTACATTATCATCTCTGTCCTTCATTGAAATGAACTCTTTAAAGTTTGATTCAATGTTTCATCCTTTTCTCTTACAGAAGGTCATGTTAGATAGGCTTATTGTGTAAGAGTTTCATAGTTTTATAAAATGATTGCACATAGAGCTTACTATTATTTAAACAATCCAATACTAAACAACCACAGAATAGTATCATCTTGATTTATTTAAAAACCTATTCTTTTACTAACTGTTACCATATACCAATTGAAAGTATAAAAAGTACCCCTTTCAACAAAAATGCAAACAAAACACTTATATCTATGATGTTTATTACCCTGATATTCAGTACGAAGATAAAATCCATATGTTCCATGGAACATATTTGAGATGACAACTCTCTTGCTCCTCTCCTGATTTGCACCATGTCTTTGAAAATTTTCAGTGCATGTAGTTATCATTTTTATGCATGCAGTGCTTATGTATTTATTGTCAAGTTGTTATTACAAAGCCCAGTTTGAGTTTGAACTCTGCTTCTCCTGATACAGCTTTGAAAGAGCTCTTATTAGTTATGCAGTCTTCTATTATTTGAGAGCTCCATGAATCAATTCATCCACTCAACAGCTCTGTAGGTTTTCTTCACTTACTTTACCAAAAACAGACTCTCCACATACAGTGATGAAAAAAAAAAAAAAAAGATAGAATAGGCTTTATCCTTAGTGATATTCCAATGCAACAGAATTTGCAAGTACAATAAAACTAATTTTACCATGGAGAACACCACAACTTCATTTAAGGATTAGGAGTGGATTGATGGGGAACCTCCTTCAATAAATGGCCCTTAGAGGCTAGATAAAGTTGGGGCATGGCTTTAGATACCAAAAGGCCATGGTCCCACATGCTCACCCCTCTTTCTCCAAAGTACCACACCTGGCTGTTGGACCCCATTTCTATTTTCTTGTTGTGATCCATGAGTTGAGTTTCCCTTTCAATTAACAACAACAACAAAAATCTAGTATACCATTTAAAGCTAGTGAGGGATTCCTTTATTTTTATACT